TAATCCATATAATGCCTTCTTCAGAAATCGCATTGACTTAAAGCTTTTGATAATGTGGAGAATATTCCGGCTGAGAAAATAGTTTTGCAATCTTATGGCTCTAAATATTATAACGGAAATGATGGATGGCGTATTAAAAACAATTTTTTTCAGATCCCAAGGAATGCCCACTTGGTTGGACTTATTTATCAAATCAGTGCATTAAAATATATCCTCAAGCGTTTGACGCTGATAGAGCTTCTATTATTTGCCAAAACACTGGAGCCATATTATTGACGCTAAATGAAGATGATGAAATGTTCAATGAAATGTTCAAAGATACCGTCGATCTACTTAATGTAATTATTATAACTTTTTAAATTCAGCCTTATACGAAAAATTTGGCAAATTATTTCTCTCTTTTTATGAAATATGAAAAATTGAATTATCAAAAAATATCTTCGGAATGGCGATATTGTGATTCTCTTTTTTTTGATAGCTGAATTTTTAAAAAGAATTTTTTATTTCGAGAATAAATATTTGAAAATTTTTTGAGATTTTTTCACAATTCTTTTAGATGAATTAAATTGAATCACTAAATTACATTCGAATTATATTTATTTATTTTATTTATTTAATGTTTTTATATTTTAATACAAATTAAATTAAAATAAATGAGATCAAATTGAATAATCGAATAATAGTAACTATATATTTTCGAAAATATTAAAAACATTAAAATATTAATATTTTAAAATATAAAAATATAATACCAATATAAATACAAAAATACAAAATACAAAATACCAATAATAAAAACTTCATATTTTCAATAATTTATAATTTATGAAGGAACATTATGAAAAAGGCCTTCATATAACGACTTGGTTGGTGCAAAGTGATGGAGAATCGATCAAAGGTATTAGCTACGATTTTTTTAAAAATGCCTACGATACGTCTTCAGTACGATTTATGAATTTACAACGAATGCCAAATGGGATTTATGAAATGTATGCATTCAAATCAATTCAATTATTTTTACTTCCAAACAAATTGAAACATTTTTTCCTGCCTTCCATTTTGGATGATTAACGGCGTTTATATGGTGCATTTCAGTGTACCTCTGCGTCCATTTGCACCGCAACCATTTATTTGTCAATTAACAATGTTATCGAGAAGATTTCTCCTTTATCAACAATTACTACTGGTTAAAGGTGAAAAAAATTTCATCTTTATGTTGATTTAATTGCATTATCATTTAATTGCATGAAAAGTGCCGCTAAAAAATTTAAACCTATTTCTAACCAATTATATATAATTCAAGGATAATTAACTTTTCGGTATTTTAAAAAAAATTATAGATTTTCTTATTAATGATAGTGATAATTGTTTTTTAGTCGAAATTCACTTTATTCACGATTTATTTTAATTTATTTTTCAAGTTTTTTTATAAATTAATGATATTAAAACTAATTATTAAAAACTAATGATATCAAATGATAAAAAATGATAAAAAAATTTTAAAGCTTAATAATAAAAAAGAAATGAAAATAAATTTTTTTAGTTCCATCGAATAGATAATATCTTAATAAATTAATAATAACGAGTGATAATAATATAATAATAGCAATTATTATTAATAAAGCCATAATAATAACTTTCAATTACTATGAAATATTTTTTCTACTGGTTATTGTAGTGTTGAATAGCATTATTAAAATATAATGAGGAGGCATTTTCAAGTATTTCAAATGAATAGTTTTCTCAGAACAGCATCGGCTTATACGCCTACTATCACCTAACATTTAGCGGTGGATACGAACTGGCAAAGGTAAAGATAGAAGCAATGGTGCAAATTCTTGAACCAAGGCGACTATTATAAATCCTTTAATGAAAGTCAAATGCTCGGTAATTTCGAGTGAAAGCAGCGAAATCTTAACTAGAAATGCATAGAACGTCAGAATGTTTATAAAGAGGCGATTTAAACTTTATCCAATATTTCTTTTATTAATTCTGGATTCAAAGAAATAATTATGCCTAGTTCGATGAGAACTATTGACTTATGGTTATATTTCGGATGGTAGGCTAAAATTTGGTTGTAGTCACCACTTGTGAAAGGCTTTCCACTCAGCTCTGGTATTCTTAAAGTGAAATTCTGCAATACCTCGGTTAATTATCTGCTCCTATCTCATAGACGAATCTTGATTAAGCTTTTTATGCAGAACTTAATTCATTAATAGCATCTTTCATAGTAAATGATGTTATGTTTGCAGTCGGAGATTGAAATGAAAGTGCTACCACATGGTCCTTTTCATGGCCAATAACTATAGTCTCCGTCTGGTGCCATTTTCGCGCGATCTGGTCCCCCACATGCATAGTAGAAATGCAATAGTTTTTGGATATAATTTAAATGCCATTGAGGCTCAACGCTTTCATCATACAGCAATTCAAGAATTGTGGCAATCAACCAAGCAGCCATACGAATCCAATTTCTGGCAAATTTGTTCATATAAAGAAAAAATCCAACAATTGAAATTTAAATTCTTCAAACAAAATTAGCATCTCCAATCCTAAAAATTTGAAAATATGATAAATGGTAAATAGTTAAGATATAACGACTTTCGTAAATTATAGATTGCAGCCAAAAATCTATTCCTCAAAAATCTTAATGATGCTTATCATTTGCTTTTCAACTCATTTTACCAAAGAAATTCCAAGCAGAATTTGCTTAGCCCAATTGAATTAGCCTAATTTGATTTTTGATTTTTACTAAATACGAAAATTACTTAAGCACTCCAGCATTTTGCTTAATATTTAATCATATAGATATTTTAATAAGTAGTAATAATTGATATTTTATTCATTGATAAAACGTGGTAGACCAGACATCAAAGGTGAAAAATATACGGTCGAATAAGTCTCAAAAATGACAAAAATAAAAATAGAAGACCAGGCAAGCCTCAAAGGTGGAAAAATGATAGAACAAGCATTCTGACAAAAATGCTTATAAACAAGGAAATAAAAAATTAAATATTCAAATTATTTAGTGGAAAGACCTATTGCAATTACAAGAAAGCGAATTCTCAAGACAATAAAGACAATAATTACTCTAAGTGGTACTTTCATTAAAAATAGGTTTTTGAAAAATTCCATACTGGTAAATGGCCTAATATGCCACTTAAAATATGAATTATTCATTCAATTGAACTATTTTTTTTAACTCTGATCATTTTCGCTTTTAATCGCCTAAATGGTTACAACGATGAGAGCCTCTCGTCAAAATTTATTTATGGCTAGAGGGCAATTAGATTTGGTGAGAATTTTACTCTTATGCTTCTTCTAATAGCCCTCGCCATTACTGGTTGGGCTAGTTTCTAGCTACAAGAGTAAGGTTTTTCTAAGCTATATCATAGCTGACAATAATAGAAGCAATTCCATTTTCCAGTCTTTGTACATCGTCTAAGTCCAAATATCGTTAGTCCAACCATGTCTACGTTCAAAAATTTTTCTGACTGTATCAATCCAAATTTTTGCTGGCCCACCTCGTTTTTGACACCATTCATCACAAGTTTTGTTATTAGTATGTTTTTCATATTTGATACGTGACATTTTATGGGGAAAAAAATTTAGAATTTAATTCGACCGAACTATTATTTTCTTTACTCTTCAATTCTGATTTGCCCTCTCGGAAGAGAGCTCCAAAAAATATGGTTGGTTAACGATTCTGCTGTTGTTTAGTCATAATATGTACAATATGTACAATATATACAATATACAGCACCGGTAAAATTAGGGATTGTGCTCAGATTTACTTCAAAATTCATTTAAAGAATGAATGAATAAATCCATCAAACACAACCAATGTATAAAAAATTTTTTATTAAAAATTAATAAAATATTAAAAATAATAAACTGTTCAGAATTTTTTTTTTAAATTTTAGAGAAAAAAAGGGAATATTTTTATTGTATTTAAAAAATTTTTGAAATATTTTTAAAGAAAATAATAAATTGGATCGATTGAAATTTTGATATAAATGATTTTTTTATTAAAAATATATATTTAAATATATTTAAAATATTTATGATCAATCGTTAGATTATAGAATTTGGTGTAGAATTTCGGATAATTCCTGGACTATTAGCTAAACAGCACATTTTTGAATTTTTATGAAGAATCCGTTTAATTATGGTGCCTAAGGCTATAAGAATTTATGCATAATAAGCAATATTATTCAAATGAATATTATTCAAATTATCTCTCATTGAGAGTTTAGAACATTAACAATTTATTTTTTGATAGGATTTTCCATTCGAACATCATCATAAAGAGTTTTTTGTTTCTGTTTAAAATAAAAAAAATGAAAGAATTTCTTTTAGGAGTACCAATAATTATTAAGCAACCTGAATATTATTATACAAATCAAAGTGGTGAGATGTATTTATTTCTAAAATGTCGAGCTACTGGAATACCTTTTCCACGAATTTGCTGGTATCGAAATGGAATCGAAAAGGTATTTGAGTAAAGCATTTGCATTTATAGTGATCACTTCATTTCACTTCATTTTCAATCTAGAGAACTACTAAGCATTGCATTTGCGAGTATTCTTTCTTTTATCCGAAATAATAAACCAATTTTGGCTCTAGCAATCAACTGGCTAGCATATCTGATAAACCAGTTGATAACCATTGGTATATTTTTTTTTTTGGAATTATTCTATAAAAGTCAATTTATCAATAAAATATTTAAGTGGATTTAAGAGACTCAGTTACACATCTATATCTGAGGCTAAGTGATTCTTTGGCAAAATTTGTCTGATCCGACGAATCAATGAGCACGAAGCCAATTACAAATAGTGAATTCTCTCAGAAAAAAAAAAAAAGTTGGCAATAATAAAAATTTCTTAGGTGACAACAACAGAAAATTCATCGCTATTATTGTCTGGTGGCTCATTACTTATACCATTATCTAATGGATATATTGCATCAGATGTTGCATATTCTACGTATCATTGCACCGCTGAAAACAATTATGGAAGAGTGCGAAGTGTTGATGCAATTATTCGACCCACATTCATCGCTTCCTTTTATAATTTAAGGTTTCCTAATAATATCCATCTGGTAATATGTATGACCAAAAAAAAAAAATCTGCAAATTTCCAAAATAGGCTAAATTCTCTGAAAATTTTTTTCGTTATTTGTTAAATAGAGTTTTTTATTCTCTATTAAATTCGGATATTCTCTTTCAAAATCCTCTCCATCTTGAAATATATGTATATAATAAATAGAATAAATATATCATCAATAATTATCAGTAACATTGCTTTCAACCTCCTTATATCATCTGGAAAATATCCAAGGTAAAGACTAGTCGATTCTGCTAGGAGGTAGGGTGAGCCCTCTACCAGTAATTAATTACAGGTGATTCGCAAGGCTGAAAAGTCACCAATATTTAATCGCCTTTTCTCCGTACGATGCTATTCAAGTATTTAAGGTGTAAGACTTAAATTTAGAAAAAAATTTGTTCATATTCATAATTACTGATTACTATGGTGAGATCATTATTTATTTGACCAATCTCAATAACAATCCGCATCTTATTCTTAGTATTGCGTTTGTTTTTATGGCGAGATTGGTACCAGACTTATGTTGTCTATTTTCATCATTATGCGAATCAACCATTATATTCTCTACTCATAGCCACCAACTTTTTAAATATGTTAAAAAATACAAATGATTAAAAGAAAAGAAAAGTTCGTAGTTCGTTGAATAAATAAATTTATTATTTATTATATTATTAAATATCAAATTTAATTTTATAATAAATAAATATTTATTTTCGCTAAATAGAAATGTATTTCGGCAAAAATTTTAGAATGGATGTATTTCCTCTAAATCATGCAAATGGTGGATCGCGTATTGAATGTCAAGCACCATCACATTATCCACGTACATTTTTTTAATAATAAATACTTATAAATTTAGGTTTGACAAATTTAAATGGGCATTTTCTCATTTTTTTTATGAGACATCTCTTCTTACTCTTTAACTTCAGCAGATCTATTATAAATTTAAAAAAAAAAACCTACAATAAATCTATAAAAATATAAAAAATCTATAAAAATAAAGAAAAAATAAATAAAATAATGAATTAACATAGAATTTAGGATCGTATTCGTTTTCATGGATGATCAATGGCTCTACAGCTCGCTTCGTCCTACAGACACAACGCATATTTATATCGACTGATGGAACACTGTATTTCTCCTATCATATTCCTGAAGATGCTAATAGGTGCATTTTAGTAATAAAATAGCGATTTTTTTTTAATAATTTATTTAAAAAAGAGTTATTAATTAATCCATTTTTCCGATTATTCTATTTTTTTCTGGCATAAATAATTAAATGAAAGAAAGCAAGCATAAAAAACTGGAAATTCTTAAGACATTAAGCACTATTTTTTTTCACTATTTTGCAGTTACGCTTGTTCGTTGGTTATGCCTTCAATACAAGGTGGTCATTATGGTCCATTTTTCAATTTACGATTGCCTCCATATTTTTTAGTTAAACCATTCAAACCTATAATTGATGAATTTCGACCACTGGTTTTTCCTGAACATCCTCAAATCGGAAATTTAGTCATTCTGGAATGTTTTGCTTATGGAAGGTATTATATTTAATAATATTTATATATTTACAATTATCAGAAAATATTTCGGAAAATATTCGAAGGTTTAAATGCATTCCGACACGTCTAAATCTTTTACTAGTGTTTTAATAATGTAATTGGGAACAATTTGACTTTAGATTTTAGATTTGATTTTCTCCTAAACAAATAAATGATTCCATGTTAGGTATGAAACGATTATAAAACGATAGTTAAATAAGGTTAAGGATTCTATTTAGTAGTACTTTAGCCATTCCTAGTAATGCGCTCTTCAGAATAAATGTCTCTGTTGTTCTTTCGAAGACTCGAAAATGACCTATACCCGCTCACAAGAGGTGAGAAGAGGATTTTTAAAATTTTTTATAATGTAATATGGAAGAGTCATTATATCAAAAGGTTATTCATAGACCAGCACCACGATATGAATGGATAAGAACCGATGGAAGGTATCTTAATGCAAAACCAATGAATTTCGGTCGAATATTGAGGATTGATAATGCACGAGCGGATAATGCAGGTCGATATTTATGTATTGCAATCAATGAACTTGGACAGGATAGCGCTGAAATTAATCTTGCTTTTTCGGGTTATTTTTTTAATTCACTATCAATCTAGGCTAATATTTTGCTATTATTATCTTTTACTTAATAATTTTAGACTATTTAAATTGTCAAAATTATTCCAAGAATCATGAGGCTTTTTCTTTTGTCATTCCTAATCTCTTTGACTTTAACCCATCAATCCTAGGTTAAAATTTTTTTTTCCTTTTTTCTCAATTAAACTGATCAGAAAAGATGGCATTTTTTTCGATATGAAATCTTCAGAAACTTGTAAAATCGCTCTGAAACTGGGAGACTTAAAATATTACCAATTATATTGAACTATAGCAACTGAAAAATCGAATGATAAAAATGATGGATTTTTTGAATTTTTTTCAGTAAAACCTGAATTTTTATGGCCTTTATACGATCAAATAGTTGCCTCTAATTGTACAGTTGTGTTTGATTGCCGTCTAAATTCGCCTGATGGCGTAATTATCGAATGGTTCAAAAATTCGAAGATTTTATCTCCTTTACTCATGTCAAGTGCTGATCGAATGAGATTTAAAATTGAAAATAATAGGTTATTTTTAAGAATAAAATTATTCATCCAATTTCCATATTTATAAAAAAATATATTTATAAAAAAATATATTTGATTAATATATTTGTTTACTATTGAAATTGATATCAGAACTGACAAAACTGATAATTAAAAATTGATATTGAGCTGAAATCAAATCGTCGAAAGCAACAAGTCAGAATTCACTTATTAAATTTTGCTGAGTTTTTAATCTAATTTTTTGTTGCTTCACTTTGGTTGAATTTATATTGCGAAACATAGACTAAAGAGCTCAAATTCTTTTCAAATTAATTGGAATAAATTTATTGAAATAGATTATCTATTTATATAGACACAAGGTCCAAGCTATCAATTCAGTTTTATAGTGATAAAGATATATTGTAGACTGACAATATCATCAACTCGATTTGAAGATAGTGGTATTTATCAGTGCATTGCATCAAATCATGTTGGTTCAGCAAGTTCTTCAGCAAGATTGACTGTTCAAAATTTTAAGCCTCAGTTTGATGCGAATATGCCAAAAAAAATTTATGCTGTTATTAATTCGTATTTAGTAAATTTTTAATAAAATTATCAACAAATCATAATTATATTTTTGTGAATTTTAAAGAATTATGCAACTTATATCAGAAAACAAATACCTACAGATTGGCATGCTGATAATGACTGATAATGGAATGCAGAAAATATTATTCAATGCTGAAAACTAGCGAGAGCAAACAGTTATCCTTATATAAATATAAGCTTTAAAGGTTTAAGAAACAAAAAAGAAGCCTTAAAACATAGATGAAATTATTTTTAATCTTTTAGTTGAAGAATATGCAAAAAATGAAACTTAATTAGAAATTTATCTTGTCTAAAAATAGAATTTGATACCCTCAAATTATTTCAGGTAGTACCATGCATATATTTTGCGTTACCACGAGGTCGTATTGCATGGTTCGGTCATAATGCTGAGCCGATTAATACAAAAGGTAGAGTGCGCTATGAAACAAATTTTATACCAATACTTATCATTGAAAAAATAGAACACTCTGATGCAGGAAAATATATTTGCGCTGTTGCAAACGATGAGGGTCAATCACAATTTGAAATCGAAATCATAATTTTTGGTTGGCATTTGGAAGAATATTTCAAAAATCTAAATCTTAATAAAGTCTTTGAGATTCAGTTTATACTCAGTCTTATCAATCTAATCCTCTGATCTTATCAATCTTCATTCTTGTTCACGTTTCTACCTTCTAACGAGATATAATGACAAATAAAATTTTATTTTTTGATTTTTTTAAATACCACCTTATCAGTGTTTTCTATCGCTATTGTATTATGATATATATTATTTGTAGAAAAACCAACTTTGGTGATTAATCCTTATATAGGAACTGATGTCAGCAATATTGCTTGTGAGATAGAAATGTTTTGTAAAAATGTCGCGCAATGCCCGGAACCACTGTTCGAATGGTTTATTAACGAGATGCCGTTACGTTCTTTACCGCGATATGCCCAAATTCATACTACAGTAAGTGATTTATTTTTAATTCCATCATTTTAATAGATAACAATTAGTGCAGCAAATTTAAGTATTAAGACTTCAACACTATTTTGCAATATATAAAAAAAAATAAAAAAATCAAAAAATTGAATTGATCGTATCATCTTGATAAGAAATTGATAAAAAATGAAATATAGGTTTTGAGCCTTTTTCTTGAACCATTTTTAGACTAAATGTGATGATTATTAAAGTGAGGCCCTTTCGTCAGCGATTATTTGAAGAAGAAGATGCAGATGGCTTCCTTTTCTTCTATTAAGCTTCCTAATACGGCAAGCTTTAACCATATGACATCTGCTCTAGCATGACTTTTAATAACTGAATCCCACATTGCTTGCTATTTGCCGGAATAGCATGCGAGTTTCTCATTCATGGAACTTATTTTTTAAAGACATAATGATGATTCCAATAATATTCACCTTTCGAAAAAAATACTCTTCGAGCTTAAAATAAATTTCTATTTTTCAGCTATCTGAAGAATATGGAATTCTTAAGAATGGAATAAGGATGAAGCAAAAAATTCAACTGCAGGTTTTCCATAAAATAATTTTTTGTTATTTTCTCGCTAATTTATTTTTTTAATTTTATTTATATTTAGTTGCCATCAATACTTTATTCAAGTCGATTCAAATGCAAATCATTGCATGGAGTTTTATCTGAATTGAATTTGATTCCACCACCAGTGTTACCAACCGATTTGCGACTGCACAGTATCAGTTGTAATAATATTAAATTATCATGGAAGCAACCATTGTTCGCTAATGTTAGTTTTCAATTTGTGGAACTTACTGTAGATATTTACTTGCCAAACAGATTTATCCTAAAGAATCTCTTAAGATTGACGATTGTACAATTGAAATAAGGACGAAAGACAATATGAAGTGGCAATCTATACCAGAGCATAACCTAGTCACCACAAAAGAAGATAATATTCTAATTTTTAAGATCAGCCACCTCAGACCAAATACAGATTATCAGGTATCATCATCAGCATAATTTATTTATTTGTTTATTGTAATATGAGTGTGGCAAAAAAAAGGCTATGTGCTATTGCTAACGAAAATAATCAAGGCACAAAGTACGCAGTATATGGAAATTGAACATATAAAAACAACACCTAACTGCAATAGGCTGAATTATTGCTGCTTGCTGAAGCTGCTTATCACAAAAGTTGTACAGATCTATCCAGAGCATAATATTATGGACATTGAATAGGCTAATGATATTGTCCTTTTTGCTGACGAACAGTTACGACGAACTGTAGCAAATACTTGACTAGGTGTTGGTTGTCGATAATAGCCGCAAAAATCCCTACTAATTATATGATATGAATTTTCAATTAGATGGTTCTAGAAAAAGCCTATCGCTCGGCAAAATCTCTTTGGAATAATTTCGAAACGAAAATTCGCATTTATCTGGCTAGACATAATTCTAAGGTGCATATCGTTTATTGTATTTTTTTTTCCTACTTAATAGCATCTACCTTTTTTACTGTACCATTTGCCATACATCTCCATTAAGAATATCATCACAAAATATAGTTTGGGCTGATATAGCTTTGTTCTTCACTGTCGGCCACAGTGTGAGAGTGGATAAAATATTTAATACACTGAGAAATTTATCAGCCTTATTTCTCGAAGCGTTCTTAAAACAACATTGAGACTTAATGTTATAAAGAATTTTTTAAACAATTTCCTTATCATATTAAAAAATCATTATCATTAATTTCCTTATCATTAATTAAAATAGCCAATATTTCCATTTTTTTGTTATTTACATAATACCATCGAAAAAAAAAACAAAGTATATATTAGGTAATTTATAGTTTCGAGTAAAATTCAAAAATAGTAATGAACTAAGTTATGTATTTCAATCAACTGAATGGATTCGAACATCAAATTCTGCGCCCGTTGGAACGGTTGACGATTTGCACTGGAGAAATCTCGATGATAAAACGATTTTGATTGCATGGAATTCTTGTCATACAGTTAATCTTTAAATTTTCAATTTGAAAATTCGCTAATTATAAAAAATAATAAATAATAAAATAATAAAAATAATAAAAAATTATAAATTATTCTATTGAATATAAGAATTTTTTCCAACGATATTTGAATTACAAAAATTATTGCTAGGAATATGATAATGGAGATAATTTTTATTATCGATTATCATGGTTCTGTCAAGCGAACGAATCATCTAATAGTGATACTATTACGAAACAAATATTACATTATTCTTCAAAAATAGCGCAAAATGAGAACCACTTGAACATTGCTTATACAAAAGCTCAACGTTATATTATACGCACAAATAAAAGCTTGGAATGTAATCAAATCGTCGTAAATCTTTGCCCTAGCAATAGTCTCGGAAGTGGCTCAGTCAGTTCAATAATCATAAATTATGCATCAAATGAAGGTTAATGATTTTAATTTAAATTTATGCTCGATCATCAGCGAAAAGGCATTTGCACAACGCTTTATTGCTTGCATAAGCAATAAAGTATTAAAATCTTTCATCGATCAATGAATTAAAAATGCCGAAGTGCCTGAGGGCCAATAATATTTATTAGAAATAATATTTGTCCTAGGCTAATGCTATTTGCTTATTTTAATAAGAACGAATGAGGTTAAAGCAAATTAAAGTGGAACTAACTGTGATGCATTAAGAAGCAAAATTTAAAAAATAGTTAAAAAATAGTTAAAAAAAAATAGAAAAAAATCACATTGAACTGAGATCCTATAAAATTTGTGGCCACAGGACTAAATCCTTTAAATTTCCTAAATCCTCACTTTTCCTTGAATATTTTCTTAATTTCGCGTGAATCAGCTCGAAGAACCAATTATTATGTAAGATATCTACAATTTTCATAGTGTAAATAATTGTTGACAAATAAATAATAAATAATAAATTATTTGTCAATTGGATTCAATTAGATTTGGGAACCTTCGCATATGTGTGGCGTTGGTAGACTAATGGAGAGAATCTTCTCGGTTTTCCTGAGGACTCTTTATTCTTTCTAAATGACTATTAATTAATTCGCTACAATTATTGAACTCTGCTAATATTCTAATTTTTTCTAAGAAATAATATGTTGAAAATTTGACCAATCCGATTAATTATTTCTTTTTTAAGTTCTAAAAATATTTAAATATAATAAATATAATTTTCCCTTTTTCCTTGGATTTGAGAAAAAAATTTATTAAATTTATGAAATTAATTAGTTTATTACTTTAACAATTTAATAAATATAAGAATAATAAAAAAATTTTTCAATATAAACATATTTTTTATTGTCTTCGATAAGCTTCTTAATTCAATCGTTAAAGGATTTGAAGTGAAATATTTATTACAAATGTGTATTCTTATCGATAATATAAGCTTTTATATCGATACGTACGTGAAATACGTGGAATGCTTTTTGCAACCTTTTCAGAGAGGGTAATAAGAGCTAAGCGCGAAATCTGATATAACTAATAAGCGAATAAAAAAAATAGCGAGAAAAGTCTCACCATTACTGGTTAACAAAATAGTACATAGCCCATCCTTATTCTATTTATATGTGAATTTCGAAAATATTTCAGCAAATGGTTGAAAATTAAAGAATAAGAATTTTCAGTTATTCAGTATTCAGTTGGGTGGCTGGAAGAGCTAAGTGGATTGTTGCTAAACTCGGAGCATCAGTGTTGAGGTTCAATTCCTCGCGGGAGCAAACCTGGCAAAAAAATCCGGGTGATTCTGGCGACTCATCTGTATTTCTATCGCCAAAAGACTCCCTGGTATATTTGTCCAATGCGACAAATCTGCGGAGAGAGTTTAACCAGTAATGGTGAGACTCTTAAAAAAGAAAGTTATTCAGTATAAGAATATTCAGGAATAAAGAATTCTTGCTAATTTCTCATTAATTTGTGGCAGTTGTGGCCATTATGGATTTGATGTACTATGTTGACTTGATGTATGTACTTTGCTGATTGTGCATGGAACTCTTATATAATTTTTATATTATCCTTTTCTCTTTCTTTTCAGAAATTCTTTCTAAATTTCTAAATCACTAGCAGTTAAGGTTTAAGCGATTATTAATGGTATAATTTATCCGCAATTCTCCAACGAGTTATTCTTCTAATTAATTGTATTTTAATAATAACCAAAAATTATTTCAATGGTACTTTACTGAGAGTTACGGCGTTGCATTGTTGGCAATAAAAATATATTTCATGTTTCGTTAATTAAAGCTTTTCAAAATAGATTTAATTCATTAAAATTTTAATATTGGAAATAATTAAAGCATATTAGATGGAAGTTAATGAAAATTGTGAATTTTTCTAAAAGGAAGCATTTGGCCAGTTGTGCAGGCAATTTCTTAGAGATAACTATTCTCAGCTTTTTCTTCTAACCAGCTTTCAACCAATTAGTTTTCCTTTGAAGTGCACTCGGATTTCAGATTATTTCTTTTCATCCTCAGTGTTTTCAGTTCTCTTTGGCGATTTTATACATTTTTTTGGTGCAAATTTATCATTTTGGTTCCAATTTCGATAAAAATTTTTCCTCAAAAAATAACAAAATTTTCAGTGTCTCTATTCCAAATCATTCGTTTTTTTTCCTAACGTTATTCTGTTTCACTTATATCTATTTGCTGCTTCTGACTTATATAGCGGTAGAAATTAGAAATTTACGAGGTTTGGTGAGATTTCTAGGAAATTTAACGATACATAGGAGGATGATAAAGAGGTAGAATAAAGTACGTATTTTGATGTCGCTTTCATCCATCCATCTTTCGTCTAATCTACACCGAATTTATAACATTCCCATCTTTTTCTAATCGGTGCAAATTTCCTTATTCTCATATTTTTTTTTATTTTTTCGTCTATAAATTTATATAATCGATTAGATTTCATTTAATTTTACTAGTTTTACTAGTTTTTGTACATTTAAATTGTCTTTATAGTGCTAAATCGGCAGGCGAATTCAATCAAAATTCAAATAATGAATTCGAGTTGTATTTATCTTCGTTGGGAATGGATGAATAATACGAAATGTGAGAATTTTTGTGGAACCAAGGTTAATTCACTCTAGTAAAATAGAATAATTTATCATTTTTCTTGGTCATTTTATTTTACCTTTAACTTTACCTTTATTTAAATATTGAAAATATTGATCGTCGAGGAGAATTTTCGAAATTTTTAATCATCTCAGTTAAAGAATGAAAATCTTTTAGGTGTCATGCTGGATATCTAATAACTCAATATCTCAATCTTTTTTAAATCAATCTTTCTCAGCGCATTTAACAAGTTGGAAATTTTGTGGATTAAATTCTGAAACAAATTATTCTTGCTTCATTATTCCATTTGATAGTTATGGACGCAATGGTAGACAAAGTGAGATAATAAATTTTACAACAAAACAATCGGCTCCTATTGAAGCACCAATTTTCAAAAATTGCAATATTATTAAGATGGTATTTATTTATTTTAAAAAAATATTAATATAGATTTAAAATAGATTTATTCCAATATTTCAGCAAAATGCTTTGTTATCGATAAATAAATAGTATAGTGGAAATATTAATAATATACAAAAAGTGTACTAAATATACTAATTAAAATTAAAACGTATAAATTTTCTTAAATATGTAGATTATATGTAGATTTTCTTAAATTTTTTAGTACAACCAACTCGATTAATGAAGCGAAATTCGTTTTCAAGATTAAAGCATTTGAACCGTTTAATCTATTTAATTAAATTATAATAATATTATAAATCATAAAATAAATAAATGAAGAAAAAATACAAAAAAAGGTGGACAATACCATTTAATATCTCACAAGTTATAGTTATCTGTTATAGTTTCAAGCTAAGTTTGTTCTAGATTTATCGCTATTAACCTATTTTTAAATTATAGTTTTCCTAGTTTCAAGGAATTCTGAATTTTGTCAGCTTTTATAACTTTATTTTTATTTTTATAACTTTAATATAGCGGCATATATTTAATTTTAGGTTTATCCGAAATCTTTAATCGTTGTGATAAATTTCTCAAAAAATTAAATTGATAAACTAATACGAATAAAAATTACATATAAACAATTCATAGAAAACCCGCATTGTTAGGTGAAACAGTGAGGAGCGAAAAGAAGTGGACACCCGACTTTGAACAAGTGACCCCTCGATCTGCGGTCGAATTGTCTGCTACTTAAATTATATCCAAACCCGTTTGGAAGAATTTTTTTAATTTATGGAATAGAATGCCAATCATAATTATGTTTTATAATCATAATCATAATCATAATTGTTCATAATTGAAATTATAAACAATAAAGTGGCAGCTAATTTGCTGATATATATATATATATATATATATAGGAAAATAAATTTTAAACTAAACCATCTTTAAAAATGATTTTGATTTATCTATTAACAGCGGTTATGGGCTATTTATGAACCATAGAAATACAGATGAAAAAATGACATAACCGGAATTTTTAGATTAAATTAGATTTGCTTCTATCGAGAATCGATCCTCTGCGCCTTCTGATATTTGAAATTATCCGCTATCTTTCAAAATAATTTTACATAAAAAAATTTGCTTTCATTATTTTAAAACAATAATTTTGTATAAAAAATTTGCTTTCACTATTTTAGAACAATAATTTTTCGTTATTCTTGCGATGGAAGTCAATTAAACTTCAAAAAAACACAAATCTATTAAATGAAATTAATGATAATTCCATAGGTTATAAGGTTATTTTTTTATATTTTATTCTAATAATTTCCTTCATTTCATATTTTTTATCAGACGAATTAAATCTAAAAACATTGATTGAGGTTTTTAATTTGAAAAAGAATTGCAATCGTTTATAATCTAAATTCTAAAGTGCTGGCAGCTAATTGCAGATATTTGTATATATATTGGAAACTGCAAATAAACCTATCGTTTTAAGAATTCCACAGTCGGATTTTGCAGATAAAAGTAATCCATCCGCATTGGTCAATGGGCTAAAATAT